TATGTCACTGTACCATTACCGCACACAGTACGTCACTGTACCATTACCGCACACAGTATGTCAGCATAACTTTAGAAGACAAGCTCATGATGTCATCATCGTATCCCTGCATGTGATGAAAGGATATAAAGACCACATACTCCATCTTAACTCGGATCACCTGAAGTATGTGTGGAATTGTCCGATTCTAATCTAATATTATAAATTAGCCTAGATACTGACATGCCTGTGAATATAATGTTTGTACAGAAGAGCTCGTTGTGGTAAATGTCTGTTGGATTTTTCACACCATGACATCCATATAGTTCCCTATTTTACAAGGGGACAGCATGGGGGTGGTTAGTGACATCGAGTAAAATACCCTGCTCCAACCAAGATCAACATCAGCACCAATTTACAACACTTCCTTTTTAAAACAGCATGAATAGTTTGGGAAACTTGACTTATAATCAAAATAATTTATGTTTTAAAATTGTGCATTCTTTTATAATCATTTTACCAGTTTGAGCTAGACGGGAAACTCTGCCACAATATATGTCACATTTTGAAGTGTGCAAGAACAGCACAGTACAGGGAACCACAGAGCACTTTAGTTCTCACTTTTTCACTGTATCTGTAAATGTTTCCATTTAAATCATGTTGTACCCATTGAACCCATTAAACAAAATCTCAAATTCTAGGATGATGGATGAAGCAAAATTGTAGAAGGTGCAAGTTGGCTCTGAGGGTTTGCATCAAGAGACAGGGAGTTTTACTTTTCAAAATGATCCATGTTTTTGCTCTGTGTGTCAGATGAAATGGGAGTTTGATCTTTGCTGGTGTGGAAACAAGGCTAAATAGTGCCATGCAAACAAGCAATACAACATATTCAATGTCGTAAGTCATTCAGAAATAGACAAAAAGCTCTTCACTCGTGGGAGTCATATCAAGCGCACATGAAGATGGTTATGATCATTCCAGTTGTCAAGCATCCCAGACCCAAGGCTTCACTGCAAGGGTTCCACAGAGTAGGTATTTTCTACTCAATCTGTTCATACACCAACCAGGAAAAAGCAGGCAGCTCAATGATCATCCCTTCCATCCACCTTCAATCCTCATTCCTTCCACTCCAGGCAACCCATGACATTGTGTACACTACACAAGATGTACTGCAGCAATCCTCCAAACATCTTTTGATGCCACCTTCCAAGCCTACACCACTGCCACCTCAAAGTAGAAGAACAACATCAAGCACTTGAGTATCTCCATTAGCTGCAAGTTTCACTCCAAACCACACATCCATATGTGGATTGGGATGATATCACTGTTCCTTCAGTATTTCTGTGACAGAAATGTGGATCATCTTTCCAAACACAATCTGGGTCTACCTACACCAAACGGACTGCAGTCGTTCAATAAGGGAGCTCATTACCACCTTCTCAACCTCAATTAGAGATGGGCAATAAATGCTGACATTGACATCCATGACTGAATGAAAAAAAAATGCTGATAACAAATAATATTTTAAACTGTTATGTGATTAGGTTAGAAGTATTAGCTACATTTTGGAAGTTTATGGAAGGATCGTTAGTCCCAAAATGGAAGGGCCCCACCCCCAATACATAGATTGAAGGATGACAGGGGTTTAACTTCCAAACCACGCTTGCAGAAAGCCAGGTACCTTTCACAAAGGAAAGCTCATAAATCTATCTTGTGCTCTTTGCTGTGTTTCTGGTTTGACAATACACTTTCCTTGGATTGTATTTAATGTAAGACCTCTTCTCAATGGCCTTAGCAGAGTGGAAAATCTCAATTATCTTAAAAGCGAAATGACATATCCAATCTGAACAACCACCATAAGCAAAATATAAACTGCTTCAGGGTTTTCATGTTCCATAGTATAGTCCCAACATGTTTATTATCAGGTATTGAAGCTGCTTCTTCAATGTTGAAACATGCTAAAACCATTAAGCCATCTCCTTTATGAATACAATTCCAAGTATTGAGAACATTACGACAAACAAACCATCTTTCACAATTAGTGGTTTTCATTTTAGCTGTTATTTTCCATTAGGTGTTGCTGTTTAATTTTATACTTTCGACGTGTGCTTTTTCAAACTTGTTTCACACGGTTCCCCTGAACTTGTAGTTTTCACGTCTGTTACATCTAAAGATAATAAAAACATTTCAGAATGCAGGCTTTCTTCATCATAGCTGTGACCATTTAGTTTATATTAAGTGTTGTCATTTCAGGGTGAAAAAGGTGCAGTTGGTAACCCAGGCCTAAGGGGACCCACAGGTTTGCCTGTAAGTATACCAAGTGTAAGGAAGAATGCACTATTTTAGTGCAGATGGAATTAATGTTACAGTTAAGAAGGTTGTATTTGCTCTGTGACTTCAGAAGTTTTTAGAAGCATTCTTTGTGATTGAAAGAATGGGTTTGTGGTGGATTCAGAAACTCAACTCAGGGAGGATATGATTTCAGTTCATGAGAGCTGTGCATCTATGCAATATCAGTGATTACGACTATGATTTGCATAATACAGAAGTGATCATAAATATCATATTAAGTCGGTGTTCTAGTTTGATATCAACTTAAGCAAGGTTTCTTGGAAAGAAAAATAAACAAGCAATGACAATAGATTTTCCTCTGTTCAGCCATTTGTCAGACACAGTGAAATTATATAGAGTGGAGACCTCTCGGGGTTCAGGCCATTTTTCATTTACATGGAGTGACCCCATTGTGTGTACACATACAGTAATTTAATTAAGTGGGTGTTTCTGTGCAAATCTTAGAAAAGTGGTTACTGGAGTTACCATCATTGAGTGCTGAAGGACATGCTGGTGCAGGGGTCAATCACTGCATTCTTATAGATTGGTTGCCCAGTGGGAGAACTGAGGTCAGTGTCAGTTTATCAGAGGCAAGTGAAAATTTGTATCCACCTCCCCGACACCACCCTACCCTGATCCTCACCTCCTCCCTCCGAATGATGTTGTCAACGTGGCATTTTCTGATCGCTGCTGTCCAGAAGGAGCACCCGTCTAATTTCAGGGGCCTGGAGCATAGGGACAGACCTCTCCCGATGCTGACAGGCACAGGACACACTTCAGTAAATTGCCATAGAAGGAATCATGCCCTACTTTGTCCCAAATCTGAACATGACATCTTAACATTATTTTCATTTGTTGACCAGCATGAAACATAGTGTCTTAAATCACTGCAGAGTAAATCTGTAATGAACTTCGTTATTTACATACAATGTCAAAAGTGGCACATAGGCCCCATTAACCTGCTATCCATCTTGACCAATAAAAGGTCATAGCCTTTCAATGATGATCTTGTAACTTGCCCGATTTTATTGAATTTTTTTATTACTTCATTGCCAGGTCTGCAGCTTGAAACACCCTCTCTCTCCCTCCCTTACCTGCACTGGAATTGCTACATGCAGTGGTGAAGCTGCCAACTCCCTCAGTGCTGAAGGTCCTCCAAGTGACCCTCCAGCTTTGGGACCCCACCCAACATCCTGAACTCGACAGTGAGCGTGCTCCCTGGTCAGTGAGTGGCAACACTTTGTAACACCTCACTAGGATAGTGCTTCGAAAATCAAACCCCACTATTCCCAGAATCATCACTAAAGTTGAAAGATATTTAAAAGCGTGCAAAATTCCTCAATTTACTTGACTTCTTGAAGCAGATTGACAGAAAGAATGGGCCAAGTTTCTGCACTTAATAAAAATGACTATTTAGTCATATAATTAGGCTCTAGCTACTTGTAAACAATTAAGAACCATTAACATACAGCTCTACTAATTACATCTCTAATCCCCTTAAAAACTCCCCCTTATACATATAGACACACACATACACACCAACAGGGTAAAAGACATTGCTGTTATGGATTGAGAGAAATAATGGGAAGGCAGTTCACTGGTTCCTCTTTGCAGTTTCGCTGGTCAGAATGCTGTTTCTCGGTCTTCCTTCTCAGGAGGCTGTCACTGCTTTGAAAGAGGCACAGGGTGGCTGGTTCAGTTATAAAAGGTTTCTGTCCTATCAATTCAAAGTCACAGCTGACAGCAACTGCTGAAGGAAAGATACGTAGGATTTCTTCAGGCTTAAAGTGGCTTTTACTGCAGAGAACAGAGAGACCTCCTGATCTGATGGAGATCTGAAAGTTTCTCTGTTTCTTGTTCATATCCACAAGATGCTCGGCAACCTGAGAACCAATCAGGTGGTTGATGGCAAGCAGAGGGCCTTTGTCATCCGTAACTGGTCATTAGTCCACAAATCAACCAGCTACGCGTTGCCAAGCAAAGGTCCATTTGTACACAATCCCTCAGCTCCAGCTCATCTACACCCACATTTTAAGCAGTGCTCAAACAAGTGACGGTATTAACAGTGACTACAATGAGTATCAGGTTACTTGCTTTCAAAATATTCAGCAATCCTACAGCAATCCTTGGATTTAGAACAGTTATTTTCTCATTTCAGTCCACAATTAAAAATACAGAAAAAATACGAAAAAACACAGCCTTCAAGAACAGTGTAGGGCATGCCATGCTGATACTGGAATTTGAGCCCATTGCATCTTTCATTACACTAGAACTCACTTGAAGCATTATTTATGTTTCATGTTTCTAAGTTAGTGTTAATTATTTTCATACTAATGAACCTTCAGTTAGATTGCTGGCAATCCTGTGTAAACAGAGGCTCCCTGGAACAGTATTAGAAATTATTGTTGGTGATATTAATGGATGAATGCCCCGCGGTTCCATTCTTGAGCAGAGGCATTTATTTTACGTGAATACTCTAAGTATTTTCTTCATATCAAGAGCAGCATCACAAGTTCCAGTCACTTAAAGAGCAATTTGAAATGAAAGTGAATCATTCTAAACATTTTCTTAAGCATATCTAGCTTTCTGCTTTTCCTCTGCTATTTGTTCTTTCATGTCATCTCTGTTTCTACTATTTTATCAGCATTATTTTTTCTGGTCAATTGGTAGGACAGAAATTGAATATTGCTGAAAAGAGAACATGCTAAAGCCTATTGTCTTGTGCTCATCAGGACAAAGTGAAGAATATCAAAAGCTGCTTTCCCATTAAACCAGCACCCTTTTCTCTAACAATTATAAATTATTGTGATTGCATAAAACCTTTTCTTCTTGCATTTGTTCTGATAAGTGCAACATAAAAAACTTTGGCATCATGTCTCCCTTTTCAATAATTTTCAAGCATTATTTCTATTTCCTATGCCCCATTCTATCTATTTTAACTTGTTTCAAAGTTTAAGATAAATTCCTTTCTTGATCTCCCTGAGCTTTCAATTTATTTTGAAGATGGAAGTAATAGTGTGAAAAACGTTGGTTGAGGATATGGCTCTTTTTGGTTTCGCAACCATTGCACCATTGGATCCTCATATGTAAACACTTTTGTGATTGTGTCAGAGATTTGAGCAGGTTTTATCTTTACAACTGTTTTTTATTAGAGACCTGCTGTTGCTGGACCAACTGTCAAACTATGATTTATAGAACCATAGTAGCTACAATAATGGGTGGAGTTTAATGCAGGATGAGAGGTGGAGGGGGGAATGATTCTACAGAATTTGGAAGGAAGGCAAGAGTTGGCGTGCCTTGCCTTTCCTGACTCATCCCAATTAGAGATAAGGAGGGTCAAAGATGCCCTTCCCCAAAAAAGGCTTTAGGCCCTTTAGTAGTCAAATAACAACTACTTAAGGGCTTCTTTCCTATTCAACTAAAAGCAGTGCAGGAGAACATATGCCATGTGGAGAGGCTGTCTGGTAAAAGCTAACAGTGGTCTCAAAGGAATAGGGGACACCTTGTGTTCCACAGGAAGCACTAGCTAAAAGAGGTCCCCCTCCACTTTGCCTTCCTTACCTCTCTTGGGCCTGTCTGATTGCTCCTCTCAAACGAGACCAACTTAATCTGGGCTCTGGGGCGCGTTCAAATTTGAATGCTCAGTATCTTGCTGCAATACCAGCAATGGCCGCCACATCTGATTGGTCAGTAACTCCTAAGGGCAAGCTCTTTGAATTTGGAAGGCATGGAAGACCCAGTGGCAAGCAGTTAACTGCCTGGTTGATATGCAATCCTGTCAGGGCTTCTGAAAATGGTTTCACTGGGGTGACCAGATCACCTCTGTACAATGTACAAGCCAAGGAGTATGAGGCTATAAGATATAGGAGCAGAAGTAGGCCATTCAGCCCAATGACTCTGCTCCACCATACATGACATCATGACTGATCAGATCATGCTCAATTCTGCTTTCCTGCCTTTTTCCTCTCATTCTTCTAAACTCCAATGAGTACCAGTCCAACGTGCTCACACTCTCCTTATAACACCACAACGTTCAGCTTTTCTAGGGCCCCATTATCATCCAGAAGGTTTCCAGGTGTGTGATGGCAGAATTCTCGCTGAGCTGAGCTGAAGGCAGTCTCCCACGGCCTTAACGGCTGTGTTGGACAGCAGACTGATGACCCACTTACTCTTAAAGTCTCGTGTCTGCTGCACCGTGCCATTATTGGGGTTCAGTTCTGTGCTCTGTGCCACTTGTCCCCATTCCATGTATCTGCCAGCATGGCCACCATGTAGTAAGATCAGGCCTATTGCATGATTGAACACTAACAAGTTATCTGAACATAACGATACAAGAAATGGAAAGGGAGAAAATCTTCTGGTGCCCTCCACGCCAAGGCTCCAGTTCAATGTGGTCTAACATCACTATGAAATAGCTCCAATTGCATTTGCTGAATAGCTATTCTTACAGAGTTAACCTCTTACTATATATTTTTAGGCTTTTCTTGGGATGTTAGGTAGTATTGTTCGTATAATGGATGAAACAGGTTATAAAATAGTTAAAATTCAGCCACTAGAAATTGCAGTCTGAGGACATTATGTTTCATATAAAAATTGGGATCAAAATGTCTGTCCTTATGTATGTGTTCTTCTTTGACAGGGAATTGATGGAGATCCAGGGTTAGATGTAAGTCCTATTTCTTTTATGCTCTTCTTCTACCAGTCTTATTTCCAAGGTTTCCAGTTAAAACTTAAAAGAGAATAATCTAGAATCTGTTGAGTCGTGAGCCTTTTTTCGAGTTTTATTTACTTTATTTGTGGGTTTCAAGTTGTTTAAAGATCATTCTCAGAAACACTATTGCCATAACAAAAGTGAAGATTCAAACAACAAAGCTGAATACATATATACGATTTTTAACTCATGAAATGGTGTTTAGAAAGATGGAAATCTCTTTAGGAAAGAACACATTTTGTCAGCCTATTTCATTTGAGAAAAACAAGGGAACTGACAAAATTGGCCAAGGCAAATTGTTTATTCAGCAAAGGATTCAAATAGCAGGTACATCGGAAAATTAGCAAGTTTGCAAGGAGGAAATAAGTGCTGATTGAGCAGACTTGTCTCTATACAGTAAAATTTAGTCTGAATGAACAGACTTGTTATCATTCTTTGTGATTTTTCTTCACAGCAGGAATTATAAATTGATTCTGAACTACTTTGATGACTTTTATCTCTTCCAGGGTTTCTCTGGTCCTAAAGGAGATAGAGGAGAAAGGGGAGAAAAGGTGTTGTTACAGATCTCTGCATTTACAAGTGCCTTCAAATGGCTGTTTTCAGTGTTGCTGGAATTAAATGATATGTGAGCATGAGAACCAAATGCACTTAGATCTCCAGTATTCCTTTTGAAATTGGATTGGGTGGAACACAACAGAGTGAATGGGGTGAAGTACTAAAAGTCATTATTGTCCTGAGAGAACACAGGCGGTTTTTGTCACACTATTTCCCATTAGATTCCAAACCGTTTATATATCATGTCCATTGTCATATGGATAATCATTAACAGATGAAAAGTAAAGAGCAAGGATCAAACTTCACGCAAAGAACTTGGTTCAGATGGAGATAAGGAAAGAACCTTCACTGTATAAATGTTATGACTTGGAGTTCATTATCTTACTAATTATTTTGCATCTGAAGTAGAAGCTAGTCAACAATGTCTATACTTCTCATTGCTGGAAGAGCTAGTTTTCAATTACACCTGAACTTAAAGCAGTTGGTTCACTTTGTTACGAAGTTGACAACAGCAATTAGCAAGATTAATTGATTTTATTGTCGATCTGTACAAGTTGTCAGTAAAGTCCAGAGACAAAGCATCACCTGTGAGAAACAGCCTGGAATGACATTGTTATAGAAAACCATTTGCATACAGGGGTTTCCATTCAGAATCCAGTTTTACACGTTGGCATGAAATTTAACAAAAATAATGACAATAGTGTCAACATACCTAAGATTTTTATATTTGAAATTATTCCAGTGCTGTTGTTGAATTATTTAAAGTCCAAGCAATAACATTGAATTTACCATTTCCCATAATATTGTAATTAAGGTACAAAGATTTTTTTATTTTACTTTTTCACCTGATGTAAACTTTCCATTGTTTTACACAAAAGCTTCATCTTAATTAACCTGCGCCACCCCATATCAAATAAATCTTGTTTTCTTTCTTCATTCATGGGATGAGGGTGTCACTGGCTAGGCAGCAATTATTGCCCATCCCTAATGGCCCAGAGGGCAGTTAAGAGTCAACCACATTGCTGTGGGTCTGGAGTCACATGTAGGCCAGACCAGGTAAGGATACAGTTTCCTTCCCTAAAGGATATTAGTGAACCAGATGTGTTTTTCCCGACAATTGACAATGGATTCACGGTCATCACTAGATTCTTGATTCCAAATATTTATTGAATTCAAAATCAACCATCTGCCGTAGGAGGATTCGAACCCAGGTCCCCAGAACATTATCTGGGTCTCTGGGTTATTAATCCAGTGACATACCACTCAGCGATCGCCTCACCTAAAGTTGTATCACAACATGATCAGTCAGAGAAACCCCTGTCCTCAGCTGTTTCTTTTGTAGATCTTTCTCTGTAATACCCCTCCTGGGCTCAATAAACTGGCACAGCTAATCCATCACTATTTCTCCTCACCAACTGTATAAGTGACCCAGTTACCTGCACTCTGATTCTTCTCAATCCAATATTTTAGCATAATCTGTATTTTTGCAACACCAAAAATTAAACATTCTCCCAATTACTTCTTCATTTGGCAACTTAAAACATTTGATTTAAGAGTAGAATGTATATTTTTATATGAAGGCAACAATAGCTATCGAAAGCTGAAAGCAGCATTTGAAAGTGGTTGACTGAACAAGATATTAAGGAATACTGAAGCTTTGGCATTTGGATTTAGACACTCATATTTGAAATAAAGCACAGAAATGTTCATTCAGAGAGCACTCTTTAAGCTGCATGAGCATTCCATCTAAAGCTTTCTTGTGGTCTTGTATGAGCTGACTGTCTACATTGGTATGAGCTAGATATCCACTGTTCTCCTATTGACTGTAAACCTTCAATAACACTCTGTAGACTGCACAGGCTTTGTCCGTCCAGCACTCTAGTGTAGACTGCATGAGTAGTCTACTTTGCACACATGGTACAAACCAACTTTCTGCCTCCATTTCTATAGGTTGGGGAATTGCAATATCTCTGAATGGATGCCTAATCCTCTGGCATTCTTCTGCCCACTTAGTGTTGGCCTATCATTATAAATAAGGCTGTGTTTTCTGACACCTTGCAATGTTCACACTCCACATGCAGAAAGCTATGCACATACCCACTTTGTGAAATACCCTGCATGGCAGCACCCAAATAAGTACAATCAATATGAGCGAATTGGGTGGAATTACACCACTGGGGGTATTGGCATGGGTGATGTGCATGAGTGTTTTGCACATGTAGACTGAGAGCATTTCATGGGTGTCAGCAGACATTGTCCAGTAATAATTTAGCTTTTCCATTAAAAATAGTGAATAGAGAAATGTCATCTGTGCAAAGTAAACATTCATCTGCTGATATAACTGACAATAATTTCTAGGCTGCTTACTGTATGAGCTTTCAATCACAGTTTTGAAGTGTATAAGTTATCCATCTCTTGTTGATTATATCAGGTTGATTGAGTGCGCACTGCTAGCATGGAGCCTTGTCCACAAATAGCACATGTTGAGGAGATTGTGGGCAATATTGACACACATTCCCAATGTGTGCTGCTATCTGGTAAAAATCCTTTCTAGGAGCACGTACTCAGCAATCTGACCTGTGTGCTATCCATCCACTACCCTTCTATTAAGTGTGAGTTATCCAACAATAGTAGCTTTAAAGTCTCAATTGAATATTTTTCCTTTTAGACATTTAAACTAATTGCATAACTTATATGAAATGCCATAAAGACAGTGATCAAACCACTGACACAGTTTTATGAAAATTACACAAAAATATATGACTGTCTAAAATATCAAGGAATATGTCAATTTTTAAATGGTTCTTTCATTAACCAAATACCATATTTTATGGATTACATTCACTGAGAGTAAATGTAATTTTCTGTTAATCAAATATTCATATGGTTGGATATCTCGTAACATCAGGAGGGCTGTGTTAAATGATTAATTTTACTTTTATACTTGCTTCCAATTGCACACTTGATTGAATTGCTTCTGAATTTGTGGAGGGAGTGTCCTTTTCTCTTTGCCTATGTAGCAATCTTGAGCATGCTCAGTGACCACTGACTGCAACATGTACTTTTGCTGCAGAAAATTGCCTTAAACTTGATGCAGTAGATCTCTAATAGTCACTGTAAGAGAATTCATAGGTAAATGCAAAGGGCCACTGCCTCTGTAGAAACATTATTCTTTCTGGATGTTTCTTGCTCCTGTTGCTCAGTTTGAAGCATGCTTTATTTACCTGGAGGTACCTACCCTTCTCCTTCTCCCTCTGCCCTCTGAAACCTGAGCATATTGGTTCCCACCTATGGACTTGACCCATCCTTTTAATTTTTACTCCTTAATTTGACTGCTGTAATAAGAGATGTAGTTTTACTCCTTTCTGAATATAACTCATTCCTAAGTGCTCCTGCAACCTCACTAATTTTCCTTTTTTTTCTAATATCATCACTTATCCTCATTGTAGTCCCTTTACTCCTGATAACTGCCAAGCATTTTTCTGGCTATAAACTCATGACTACTCTTTTACTGTTTTACTCTTAGTGCTCAAATTGGCTTGACATAATGTACAATTATATGTAGCTGTGCCTGAGTTCACCAAACTTTTTTTTTGACCAAACCATTGTGTCCGCAGGGGGAAAAGGGAAAGAAAGGCAAAAAAGGGCCAAAGGGGGAGAAAGGAGAACAGGGTGCTCCTGGATTAGATGCACCTTGCCCATTGGTATGTCTCTGCTGTGTATTGGTATTCAAACATCTCAAGTCAAACAGAAGAAAGAGGCACATTCTGTCTAATGGCCCCAGTGCACATGATGAAATAAGTTATTTACTCGGGATTTTACTTGAGGATTTCACAGGGAGCAGCAGCTGTACTAACTTACCATCTACAACATTTGCCTTGTGGCATTCTGGTCACAGTGAACACGAGAATATGTTCCATGCCGTAGAAAGGGGGTTTCAGTCCCATCAGGATTATTGTGCGGTGGGGCATGCATTCACATCAAATATTTTGAAAATCAGGAATGGGGAGAAGGGAAGACAATATTATGCTTTAGTTCCAAATTTTCAATTTATATTTGAAAATATACAATCCAAGACGGAGTTGCAAGAATGTTTTTGTAAATTGAGCATTTGTTTCTTTCACATAAGTCGTATTAAGAATTTAAGTGTAACAGTAGGAAGAAAGGATGCTCAGTTTAATCATCCTTGTATATTTCCAACTTGGTTTACATTTCAGAAACTCCCTCACCCCACACATTGTTCATGAAGTCATTAGATGCCTCTCTCTCCTGTTTGTAAACCATTGAGTGTTAGCCTCTCTGCAGGCGGAGCAATTCATTTGTCAATAACAATGCAAGTTAATTTCAATAAACAGGGTCTCCGAGGCAATAAGGGGGAAAAAGGGGAGCCAGGTCAACCTGGCCTGGATGGGCTGGATGCCCCTTGCCAATTGGTACAGTATTCTTTTTCCTACCAACCCTGCATGATGTCTTTAATGAGGCAATCAGTCATAATGCAAAGCAGTGGTTGATTCTCTTTGCATTGCAGGTTTAATGCATGCGCATGACTGGACTGTCCCGCAGCTAACGTACCCAATGAAAGAGGGTGTGCTTGTAATTTATTTACTCATTAATGTGTAACATGTGCTATACAATATGAGACTGATAAAATTATTTCCAGTATATCACTGAGGAATTAGAGGCTAATCAGTGGAATATGATGTTCAAAGATGATTTAATAATGATGAAAATAATCAACAACCTACTCAGTGCATTGGGAATTTTAAGCATGGTCTTCAGAATCAGGCTGCATTAGTCATTATTAAAAAGGTCTGCATTACAACACACTCAAATTTCCAGCAGATTTAAGGTCAATCATTTTCTCCTTTAATGTAGCAAAGAGAGGAATTCGATATAAATACATGAACAATTCATGCAATTACATTGCCAACAGGAATTTGTGCATGAAGAATGCAGAGTTTGTGAATATCCTTATGTCCTTTACAAGATCTAAAGGGAGGGGTAAGGACTGGAGGTGGATGGATTGTAACACCCTCCCTCACGATGGGCAGGGGTATTAAATGTTAAAAGACTCCAACCCATAATGAATATGCCACCTCAGACTTAACCGCAGCCAATCTAGGTATGTGCAGGTCACTCACTCCGGAGAGTCAGGTCAACAATGGTAAAATTTATCCCAAGCTCCCTACCTCAGATGTTAGCAGTCATGTGAATATAACAGCTGTGACATGAGTTCGAGAAGCATATGCTGCCGTGTTAATGTTTTGGCCAACAGGGAGCATCCCCCATACCCTCACGCCTCACCAATGCTAAGTATTCCCCATCTTCAAGCAGCTCAAGCAAAGCTTCTACCTTATTTGTTCCCTCCTGCAACCTACTGATTCCACCCTCCATGATAGTTTAACTCCAGCAATGATTTCTCTTGGTTTTCCAACCTTTGCTCCATTGCTCCCATCAGCCCCCACCCAGACCCCTGTGTTCCAGATTGCTGGGACCATTTCCAGTGGTTCCTAACTCCTGATTTCTCTCATAATCTTTACGGATTTTAGTGTAGTCAATGGGCAGGCCATTCTTTCCACTAGGTCATCACCAATGCAGAAAAGACAAAAATGTACTTCAGTATGTTTCAGCTTTGGAACTGACCTTGACTGTTGGCTGTTACGCTCCTAAATAAAATAACTTACTTAATATGGTGTTTGTTGATGCAAGTCCACATTATAAAAATTCTCACACATAAGTAACAAATTAACAAATTTCCACTCCAAATCTCACAAAGATGACAAATGTTGAAGTAAAAAGACAGATGAGTGGGTTGGGTACTTCATTGAAATGAATCTAACAAAGAAGAGACCAACTTGTCCAGTATAGCACATCTACACAATTAATTGCCATGCTGCCTGGATTTCGAAATGTCCAAACATAGGCCAGTTTTATTCAGACATAGAAGCATTTTGGTCCAGTGAGATGTCAAGATTCTTTTTAAAATTTATTTTATTTTAACGTGTTCATTCAAGTGGAGTGCATCCTCCTTGGAATGCCATGCTACGCAGGAAATTTGGAAACTCAGACTCAAGAGATAATCAGGAGGCTGAGATACGTTTCGATTTAGATTTTTATTGTCACATGCACTCAAGTACAGAAGTACAGGAGTGCAGTGAAAAGTGCACAATGTCCCCACACACAGAGCCATCTCAGGTACAAGGTACCTAGATACAAAAACTTAAGTACAAAATCTGGTCCCATGCCTCCTTACATTTATTCAGTGTCCCAGCATCCACCTCACACTGGGGTAAGAATTCCACAGATTTGTGACCCTTTGAGAGAAGTAATTTCTCCTCATCTCTGTTTTAAATCTGCAAACTGTCAATTGAGATAGTTACAGGAGAATATTTCCAAGAGGGTGCATATGTGAAACTCTCAGCCATGGGTCTGGTGTTGCATTGTGACCTATCTCCCCTGTGGCTTGGCCAGTGTTTCTTGCATTCCCATTGTGGCTGTTTTCAGTGGACCTGCCCTGGTGCTTCTGCATCATTGTTCTGATGACTTATAGGGATTCTTAAATCTATGTGGATTGAGTATTACAGAGTGAGATGATCCCATTACTAGTTCTTCCAAAGTGAGGCCACGTCTGCTCCTGTAGTGAGTAGGGCCGCTTTAAGGTCCCCTGCCTGTTAAGACTCAGCTTCTTGAATGAGGATCCACTTCACCCTCCACAAGACAATCCCTTTGAACTTCACATTGGATCTGAAAACACAGATAGATTAAACTTTTATGTAGGTCAGGCCTGAAGTGACACCAGCTCAGATATATAAGTGAGACAGATTTCTATATGTGCAATTTCTATATATGCTATTCAATGCAACATCCCGCTGCCAACTTAACCGCGGGAGGTTTCCCTGCCTCCGGCAACCTGACACTCAACTTCCCAGGTGATTAGCCATCACCTGCAATTATTGTTCCCATCACCACAGGCTGGATTTAACTCCACTCATTGTTTTCAAAATGAATGCAAAGTGTAATAGGAATCGCTGCCTCATTGTAGTCCTCAAATAAGAAACCGATCTCACCTTCCTCTTCCAGTTGTAACCTACAAATCTCGCTTATTTAATGCTCCGTATCCTTTTGGCAGTTTAAGTTTTAACAAATTAAGCCTTCCTTGAGCTCAGTTCCAAGCTCATACTAGCAACCCTTCCCTGACTATTAACATAATGTCAAGGCTTTCTGGCTTGATTTAACATATTGCCATTCACTCCCGAAACAATTCAACTTTTCAATACTGGACTTTACATTGCTTACCAAACCCTTCTCAGCTTTTAATGCAACCTTTGTTCCATTTGTGACACAAACAATGTAACCAGTTGTACCACTTACCTCCATTGTACCAATAGAGCAAAATTTGCATTTCTGGGACGTATAAAAATAATTAGAAACTGTAAGTGAAACATTTCACACAACGCTGGTATTTTTTAACTGATCACGAAGATTAATTGTGGTATTTTAATAGAATATTGCATTTGGATGGGATTACATCTCACAAATGAATGAACATATAATAATAGATTTATGTTTACAGTGTGTATTTATGAAAAGCTGTGGTGTATTGAATTTGGTTCTTTCACAGTTCGGACACGCTGAGCTTGGCTAAAAAGTAAAAGGTGTTCAAATGGAATGTATTGCTGTGCATGGTTATCTTCTCTTGAAAAAGAAATGCCAGTTCTCTGTCAAATTCTGACAATGGTGTCATTCTGATTTCAGGGCATTATACTTGATTTATTCTAGAAATCTGCAATAAGAGACAGCTAGCAATTAGCATAAAGGCTGCTTTTGATCATGAATGCTAAGCTTGAGTTGCTTAAAAACTATCAGTTAAATTTGACTGCATATTATTAACACCTGTAGTTCACATATAGTGTTTCTCTGCTAAATTGTACTATTGCTGATCCTGAATGGGAGAATAAGAATCTAATAATGATGGTAGCAGTGCATGAACAATGATATTTGAACTCATGACAAGTTCTACATTACAGTGTTAAAGCTGATGTAAAAATACTTTGCATCATGATGGCAATCATAACCAATCTAGAATAACATTTTCCAAACCATGATAGATGACCTTTTCTTCAGAAACTTGTGATTATTGAGATAGAGTATATGAAAGCAGATGTTGTTCTCCTTAACAGTCCACATGGGCTAATTAGTAAGGTTTTAGGGAGAGGAGCAGACACCTATATTACTGGCCGTCTGCCCCTTTTGTGTGTTAAGCACATTTCCTGAATGGAACGGATGCGTGAGCGACTTAATAATGCCTCCTGTGTCATTCTCCAGAGATTACTTAATTCCTCTTATTCCTTTTTATTGCACCTGGAATAAATACCATTCATTGCAATTGAGTGCTAAAGGTTATAGGTCAGAATCTTCGGTTTGGAGGATGTGTAAAGAGGTTGGATAACATTCCTGGTCTTTCCTTCATAAGGCTGCATTGTTGGGATGAAAGCCATTTGTTGCTATTTCTGACTGTAGGTCAACATTCTGCTTGAAATTTACACTACTCTTGACCTTTGAGGATGTGCAGCTTTCCTACTTTGAGTTCGAGAAATGTCCATTCAAAAATCATACTGCTACCCGGCCCATTTAAACTAACTAAATACAGAAAAACATCAGGGTTCAGTGGATGTCAAGTGGGTAAAAGACATCAGTCAACTTATGCCTAGATGAAGTGGAAGAGGAAGTCAGATCCATATACTCAATAAGACAGTATTGCATTTCATTCATGTACCCAGAATTTCCATTCGGCTCTTCAGACTTCCTGTCATTTTAGCATTGTTTCCACTAAGCTCCTGCCAGAGGTTTAGTGAGAAATTGAGACACCAGGGAAGTTCTACCCCCATGGAGAATAGGACCTAAACTTTGGTTTCCGTGTTAGGTGTGCAAAGTCGGGAAAGTTGCCGGCTCCAAAAGGCTGTTTGGGAGAAGGTACGTTACAGCTATTAATAAATAAGCAAACAGCTTGCCAGTCCTTTCCTCTCAAATCTGCCATACTCTCCACATTGCCCATCCATGCCACCTCATGTTATATTCCAATATAAAACCAAAAACTTGAATGCTGGAGATCTGAAACCAAAACAGAGTTCCGATGAAGAGCCACTGGACTCAAAATGTTAACTCTGCTTTCTACCCACAGATGCTGCCAGACCTGCCGAGTTTCGCCAGCAATTTCTGTTTTTGATAAGAAATTCTGTTATTGAAAAAACTTATTAATATTTAACTTCCTTCAATAACTTACTCCCTCACAAAATCAAGCATTTGTATTCATTGCTCCAATTCACAGACTTTCGAAACATTTGGAGCTGTCAATCAATCTGTGAACTGACAGGCAGTTCACTGTGATAATGACAGACTGAAAACTCAGTGACGCAGTATGCTTCTTTTCATTATTGCCCTCGGGCCTGCACCGATATACAGAGAGAAATAGGAAGCATGCATTTTCTTAAACTTTCTTAAATTTTCTCAA